CTGCCTGCCACCGAAAAACGTCTAGCTGAAATTCGTCAGCAGTCCGAAGACGAAGTTTGCTGCCAAATCGTCAAATACTGTCAAGATGGTTGGCCAGACAGATCATACGTCAATGGAGCTGTGTTACCGTTCTACCCAGTAGCAGGTGAACTGACTGTTATGGACGGGTTACTGATGAAGGGTACTATAATAATCATACCCACAAGCATGCGCTTAGAACTCTTGGATAGGATTCACGAAGGTCACCAGGGGATAACTAAGTGTAGGCGTCGTGCACAGGAATCTGTGTGGTGGCCAGGACTGAGTAAACAGTTAGAAACTCTAGTGCAAGGCTGTAACATCTGTGCAAAAGAACGTGTTGTTCGCCATGAACCGAACATCACAACCGAGTTTCCAAAACGTCCTTGGCAGATCGTTGGTACAGACTTGTTCGAACTGAAGAAGTGTCACTACCTTGTAGTAGTCGATTACTTCTCGCGCTATATAGAACTCGCGAAGTTGACGCAGCTATCATCGGAAGCTATAGTCAACCATCTTAAGTCGATCTTTGCGAGACATGGAGTCCCAGAACGCGTCAGGTCCGACAACGGACCACAGTATTCCGCAGAAGAATTCGCAAGCTTCGCGGATACCTACAACTTCACGCATGCCACGAGTAGCCCCCTGTATCCTCAAGGCAATGCGGAGGTAGAACGCGCGGTGCAAACCGTGAAGGACCTGGTGAAGAAGACCCATACCTCGCACTGCTAGCGTACAGAGCCACACCTCTCTTCAACGGGTACAGCCCGGCAGAATTGCTGTTCGGGAGACGCGTGCGTACAAATATTCCGCAGCATCCGACCAAACTAAACCCCCGTTAGCCGGATATAGACAATCTCGCTAAGACAGAACTAGAGTACCGCAAAAAGACGGCGGAAACCGCTGACAGACGCCGTGGTGCAAGACAACTTATTGAACTGAAGGAGGGAGACAATGTGTGGGTTCGTGATAAAGACGTCGCCGCTAAGGTCATGCACAAAGCGGAGACACCGCGATCGTATGTTGAAGAGACTCAATGTGGGTCGTCCCTGAGACGAAACCGCAGAAGCTTGTGCAAGCTTAGCCCAGATATTGAGCAGGATTTCGTCGAGAAACCGCCAGATCGCGACGTACATGTGAACACCCCGCAAGCAGTTGTGCATCCCAACTCTGGACAGTTAGTTCGGGAACAGGACATTCCATCCCGTGAACTGAACTTCAACCGCCACGAGGACAGTATTACTGAAAATACTGATGGACAGCTCAAGCCTAGCCAGTATGTGACTAGGTCAGGCAGTGTCCAAACCATGTGAGAAGCTAGACATGTGAACAATCTGTTTTGCCAGATAGGGTTAATGTGAGAATAGTGTTCAAAGGGAGAGTTAATGTGTTTAAAACGATAAAGTGTCGATGCGTTAATGTGGTTACATAGCATTCAATTGTTGCGGTATTATATAATCTTTGTCAGGAATGATCTTTGGATAATTTGGACTGTATGGGAATTCATATCTACAAGAGCTGCATTATTAGTTTTATTTTCATCTCAAAGGGGGATGTTGTATTATCATAAATATCTGTTCTTGTGTCAACAAGTTATCAGCACTGGCATGTGCTGCCACCTATGGAGGTTGGGATGGACTAAATAAACATGGCTGGTTTCTGTTAACTCAAGGCTTTCGTCCTACTCATTATTTGTGTCTAATTAACGCCCACAAGATAAACCTCCTGACTCAACAAACAAGGCAGCAAGGAATGGTGACCCCCCACCACCGAGGGGAAGTCGTATCCGGTTGTGAAGACGTGGCTCCGTACATGTAAGTATAGACCGGTTACAGTTTGATCTACATATTATTATAATAATATTCATTCTGTGTCTGTGTGCTAAATCCATTCCTCGGGACCGCTCAACTCGAGATAGTCTATACTCCTGTAATTTCCCAGAGTTGTACAGCTGTACAGTGCTAACTTGACATTTTCTGACCCTAGTACGTAGTATGACTAGATAGTATATAGCGCATGTAGCATTGCAGCTAACGCAGCTACTCATTTTTTGAATAATTGTGGATGTTTTACCTGCACGGTATTGCGAACTGCACACAGGACATACAACCTTTTCTTGTCTTGTCTGATACTGTACTAATCGCCTGGTGTGGCTATGAACGTACAGGTCATCATGCAGCACTTTGATGACCTAATTTTTCTTCACAACCTCTTTGCTGCTGTTAATAAAATTTTTGAATAAAGCCACATCAGGAGCAGTCTTGGTAGTTTGTGGTTCCTCCAAGAATCTGCATGGGTTAATGCCAGGCCAGTGATGATTTTCTTATTGGTCTCGCGCTTAGCGTATCGGGAAAAATACTGTATCAGCCCAGGTTTGAGACCGTGTGCGCACTACACAGGAAAAACATTCTCCAGTCTAACGTCTCATCTGACAGACGAAGAGTAAAGTGACATGCCCAAGGACATGAGCGAGGGACAGTGATGCAACTTGAACTGGAAGCCAGGCCTTGGGTTGTGAATAGAGACCGTGCTACTACATCACAACGATTGAATCGCATCTTTCAGTGCATTGTCCAGTACAGGCAATCATGAAAATAACTTTAGGGATGGGCAATAAAGTCTATAAAAATTATGAATGTGGAAAATCACGGGGATTGTTTCCTGCAGCTCAGTACCATTTAAATTCACCTACAATTTCACATCTCTGCCTAAGCTTTTTATTGTGTCAAATTCTGCACAGACTCTTGGAATCAACAACCAACATTTAGCATGTTTAATATATTGTAAGCGGGCAGATTCCATATGCCACGCGAAGGCGATGGTAATACGGGGAAACGCAATCTTGGCGCCGCAGGGTCGAGGGATGTGTCACAACATGCTGCGGGCGGACACTACGCGGGCCAGTTGGGCCCGTAGGGAAATAAGAAATGGTCGAACGCAGGTCTAAGGTTTCCCCGAGTATTGCGCGTTGTGACAACCTAGACGCTGGCCAGATGACCTATGACATCAGGGCAGGAATGGGACCATGGAATCCAGCCAAGTGCGAAGCCAAGTGCGAAGACACTCATATCCATATCATTCGGTATGGGTAATGGAGAAGGCGTAGGACTCCATTCCCCGTATTTGGTATGTCCAGTTGGCCGGAGAAGGGAGCTATAACGAGAGGTGACGTAGGAAAGGGCGCGCCGTATAAATAGTGAAGCGCGACAGCGCCTCAAGGCTCTTGTTAGAAGACACCAACTGAGAAAGGTGTAAGTGCGTGATACGGTTGCTATGTAGTTGAACGGTCTTGCTAGCCTGTAGTACATTGAGATTTCATGTTGTATGATGTAGTAAAACACTAGTGAACGCTACTTCTTGTCTTGTCTTTACTTGTCTCTAGTCTATTACAGAACCTCTTAAAAAGGTAGCGCGAATCACGTGTCTACATTGTGGTGCCGACCAGTCTGATTTGGGTATTCCATTGCGCACAACGCAAGGGAAGCGAGCGAACGAAACGAAAACAAACCGTATCATTGCATCACATATCGGCATGTTCTCGACGGCGAATCGGTAAGTACTAATATTTCCGGCTTAAACGGTGTGGTAACGAAATTTCTTGCGAGAAGTGCTTTACGTACACGTACGAGCGTAGTTAATTTAACGGGGTACTTAAGAATAGTATAATAGTGATGGATCCGTTAGTTACTACACCCGAAGATCCGCTCTCGTACCGTCCGCTACTCAGTTTGCTGATATGCCTCAGTTAGATCCTAATAACTACGATATGAATCCCACCTATGTGCCGCCGCTCGTAGAACCGCCGCAGATGGCATATGATATTTCGCAGCTTGCGTCTGTATTTGGGGAAGCGTTGAAACCATCGTTAGACAGTATAGGCAGCAATGTTGATAAAACGTTGCGCGATGCGGAATTACGCACGAGTATACCTAAATTTAGTGGGTCGCCCGGTCACCTACAGGTCACGTTTGTGCAGTGGCGAGATGCCTTACAACTTGCGCGCGTTCAATTAGAAGTAACCGATAAACAATTTTTATCGATAGCAGTATCATCGTTAACAGAGGGTGCGGCACAATTTGCGTGAAGACATTTACTTGCAAACATAGGCATCACTTGGTCACAACTGTTTAGTAATTTGCAGCGTCAGTATAGAAACCCGGCAGAACTTCCGAGCGCGCAGGCAATGTTAAAATCTTTCAGGCAAAACCGTTTGGAAAGCCCGCGTGCGTATGCACAACGTTTAATTGAATTGTCAGAAGCCGCATATCCAGATAGTCATAGGGATGAGGCGTCGTTCCAGGCACGTTTAGCAGACATATATTTAGATGGTCTCCAAAGTGTCCCAGCACAAAGAGCCGTCATAAAAGCGCATCCGGCAACATTGGAAGCTGCCGTGGAAATTTGTGTGCGGCAAGCGACAGTCGAAGCCGAATTGGCAGCCCGCCAACGCGCGCGTTCGTGCCAAACGCTAGCATCAAATGCAAGTGACGAAAATGGCCAAACTGCTGATTATGCCGAACTCGGTCGCGTGCCGGTTTCTCGTACGGCTCCAGCATCTACTGCCTCGGGGAATGACGAAATTTTCCGCCAGCTTGCGCAGTTGGGGGAGCTAGTCAAAACCCAGACACAGATGTTGGCGGCTGTGCAGAGAACGTTTGCAGGATCGTCGGCTGATCAGCACACATTTGATTATAATCGACAGCCATTTCGCTATGCTCCTTCATTCGCACCGTTTACTACCCCACCACTGTCCTACATTCCACCTTCAGCGCGCGCGCCACCATCTGTACGCTCCCGCATCACGCCGCGCTGCTACGAATGTGGGCGGGAAGGGCACATTGGTCGTGATTGTACGCTGAGTAGGAGTCAGCGGCGGGGAAACTTGAAAGGGGGTCAAGCATGAATGAGGACCCGAGCACCCATAGCCCGCTAGGGGGGCTGCGCCCACTCCGGTTCTGCTGCTAGAAAACAAGTGATCACCGCCCAACCAAAACAACACTCTGCTGAGCAATATAGATTTAGAAAATGTCTTTGTCTAGTAAATATGCGAGTTGGACAATTAACGACTTAAAAGAGGAGTTAAAAAAGAGAAATGCGCGGGTCTCCGGTAGAAAGGCTGAGTTAATAGAGCGGTGGGTATTTTAAAAACGGCAGTGTATAATAGAGTCACAGTCAGTCAGTAATCATCATGCATGTTTGTCATCGTTTGTCATGTAGCCATTGTAGGCCTACCACCATATATTATTATTAATATTAATTATTATTTCTATGTGTACCACATATACTAACGCATTCCAAGAGCTATGGTTAAATAATATACAAGATTCACTGGTCAGAGTTACATCTTCATTTCCTTTGTTTAGGCTAGAAGCATACAATAGGAATGACAATTTTTCTGGCAGTAGTGATCTCGTCACTGACAAGAATGATTTTAAAATGACCCTTCCTGCCCATACTTGCTTCAAGGATGTTACCAGTAGTGCCCTTCCTTCAGTGAACCATCTTACAATCAGAGAGGCTATTGCCTACCTGGACCTCTCTGGTTCTACTCTTGCTTCAGGTCATAGATTGTATGACTCAAGGTATATTAACAATAACATAATTTAGGATTAAAAGAAATTATATCGCATAAACAAATGTATTAAATATTGTCTACTCTTTTCCTTGAGTGGTTCATGTAGATGTTAGTATCAGTAACATTGTGGTTTTAGGTTCCTGCGCTTTCTCCGATGGGCTCAGGATGGTAACATGACATGCTATACTGGCCAATGCCGAGCGGAAATGCGGCGTACTGTATGCTATAACACGCATATTAAAATAGATACCAATGGAGAGGTTATGGAGACAGAGTGTGAGTGCCCAGCTGGGATGGGACCAAATGCTCACTGTAAGCATGTACAGGCCGTACTACTGGCAGTTATTGATTATACGGGAGGTGAACAGCCGAATTTAGAACTTTCTTGCACAGAGGTGTTACAGTCGTTTCATAAGCCACGTCGACTACACAATGGATCGCCTGCCAAAGCAAGTACACTGAAAGTCACTAAGCAGCCACTCGCGCTTAATTTTGATCCACGCCCACAAAAGTACCGCAAACTTGCATGTTATCCTGCACATGTGAAAAGCTTGACATTAAACTATGCAGCCAACACTCATAATCAGGTTCCACTGCTGCAAACAATCGGACCAGCCAATATTTACGCAGTTGATAAGGACCATGACTATCTAATTAAGCCGCAATCACAAATGTTCTTGGATCAAAGTAATATAACTAAAATCTCACGTGAAACAGCAGATGACATTGAGTACCGAACACGATTGCAAAACAAGAGTGTGGAATGGAAGAAGGAGAGGAGAAATCGGATGCAGTCCTCTAGGTTCGGTGTTATCATTAAATGTGTTTCACAGCATGCTAAAGAGAGAATTGCAAGGGAAATGATTGATGGGAACGAATTTGTTTCGAGGGCAACTTCACACGGAAATAGACTTGAACCGGATGCGATCACCTGCTATGAGCAGCTGTGTGATGTGAAAGTGCAAAAATGTGGATTAGTTATTTCTATAGATAAGCCTTACCTAGCCAGTTCCCCAGATGGTCTTGTGAATGAGGACACGGTTTTAGAAGTGAAATGTCCCTACTGTGCAAGGAACATGCTTATAACCCCTCACACTGTCCCGTACCTGATACAAGATGGGTCCGAAATGAGGCTGAATCCCAATCACCAATACTACGCACAAGTTCAGGCTCAAATGTATATGACAGGTAGGACCAAGTGCCATTTTGTGGTGCACACATTTAAGGACACAAAAGTCTGTAACGTCCCAGTAGATAATGTGTTTATTCAAGACATGCTACGTACTCTAGATGACTACTTCGAGAATGTGTTTAAAAAGGTTTATCTCGCGAGACATTTTTACAAAGATTTGTAATCAAATTTTAGTCTCATGCTTGAGGTGCTTTAGGTGAAATGCATGGTGACGTGGCGACACGGTTACGTAGCGACGCGGCTACGTGGCGATGCGGTTACGTAGCGACGCGCTTACGCGGCTACGTGGTTACGTAGCGACGTGGCGACCCGGTTACGTAGCGACGCGGTTACGCGGCGACGCGGTGACTCGGTTACGCGGTTACGTAGCAACGCGGTTACGTAGCGACGCGCTTATGCGGCGACGCGGTTACGCGGCGACGCGGTTACGTAGCGACGCGGCGACTCGGTTACGCGGTTACGTAGCGACGCGGCGACTCGGTTACGCGGTTACGTAGCGACGCGGATACGCAGCGACGTGGTTACGCCGCGACGCGGTTACGTAGCGACGCGGTTACGCAGCGACATAGCGACGCGGTTAAGCGGCGACGTAGCGACGCGAATACACGACTATGCGGTACTATGTTTCGCAATAACTTAAGCATTGGCTGATACAATGCATGTCCTAAAATTGCACAACATAAAACATGCAAAACATATCTCGCTGCCTAATTTTGTTTCCGTAACATTTAGGGGGCTTGTGAGAATTTTATACGTTTTAGCCAACCCAATAATGCGCTCAATGTGGACCCTCTTACTAGCAATTTTTCTATCTTTTAGAAGTACCTGCTTTTGAAACTGGTTTCGCTTCTTTAGGAATGTTGGCATATTTACACCAATATCGTAAGGAGCAAATAAATCGTGTACATTAAACCCTTTATGTACCATTATTTCATCGTTTGGGTCACACATATTCATGAGGGCACTTCTCTCTACCAAGGCCCTGTCACTTGCAGCACCTCCATGTGCATCTGGGATGTATGTGACCAGCCCCCCGGGGGAGGCTCCAACAATAACCTTGAGTGTATTGCAATTTTTGTATGTGGAATAGCTAAGCTGTTGGGCTGATGGGTCCTTTGGTTTTTGAATAGGAAATTCCATTCCATCAAAAATAATGCGTGCCTTGGGGTAGTTTTTTAAATTCGTTCGGTATGTAAAATCTGGTCAGTTCTTGATCTAGCCAGGTATCCACTTCTTGCCACTGGTAGTACAAGAAATTTATCCAAGTGACAAAGATGTTTGCCACAGAGTATTCAGAAATGATAAATAGCAGTGATAGCTCCTTATTTGGAGTATGTCGACGTAGTTTTATAAGCGTGAGGAAGAACTGATTTTGTATATTCAGCTGCTGTGGCGTTCTCCACCTGTATTCCAGCTCATAGGCTGCAGGCCCAAGACTAGATAAAACATATGAAAACTTATTAAAGTTTTCAAGGCCAGTGTAGAAATGTATAGCATCATCTCTGTCCTGGAAACGTTCAATGCAGATTGGGGGCCACTCCGGAGTCTGGGTCTGACAAGCTGCAAAGGAACGCTCAGTTGTGTGTTCCTGAGTTGGTGAAGCCTCTTCTGCTTGGTCATCATCCACAACCTCTTCAGCTGATGTAATCTCCAGTGAAGGAGGGGAAAAAGCTGGTGGAGAAGGAGGGGGAGAAGCTGGTGGAGAAGGAGGGGGAGAAGCTGGTGGAGCTTCTCCCTTCTCCCCTTCTTCCTCCACCAGCTCCCTTCTCCCCCTCCTTCTCCCCTTCCTCCTTCTCCACCAGCTTCTCCCCCTCCTCTTTCTCCACCACCTTCTCCCCTTCCTCATTCTTCACTAGCTTCTCCCTACTCCACCTACTAGTACTACTCTAAACTTCCTTCGCCTCCCCTTCCCTTCCCCCTCCCCCTCCCTACACTGCTCCTTCGCTACCCTGTACCAGAACTACGAGAGTGCTGACGATGTTCCACTTATACGCCCGAAACGCCGATAGACCGTGTAGCGCGTGTAGAATCCGATAGAATGTGTTTGGTATGTGCTTTACTTAATAATTATTTACTTGTATATATAAATATTAATTCTTGTAACAGAATGGGTAAAAAATCAGCAGAAAAAACATACCCAGTATTTCACACTGAATATACCATGTTTTTTTCATGTGAAATGTCTTTACATTTCACTCTATTGAAAGGACACGTAATTCCTGTTGAAACAAAATCTGGTATAAATAGATGTTAAACAGATACAATCACATGATTTCAAAGTAAAATAAATGATACAGTTCTCTAACAGATAACAGAACATTTTCAATTTAACCGTGAAATTTGCAAATTGTCTCGCTTTTGCTCATTAAATCAAGGTAATTTCGCATTTATAACTTCTACTGGGGGTTTTCCACTGTTGTTTTCCCTCCGTCAGTAGGCCTACCCTAGCTTATTATAATTTAGTATCCTCTCGCAAGTTTTCACGTGCTGCGATTAGTGGCAATAGTGCGGCTGAGACTTTGTAGTCAAAAACTTAATATTCTGAAGATCATTTTAAGGCTATAGTAGGCCTAGTTATTAATGGATAGGTCCAAGGCTCATTAAGGTTCATCTCGTTGGTCACTGTGGAGAAAGAGTAGGCGTTTGGTAGAACATAGCCTTCAAGCAATTCAAGCTAATTCAAATTTATTTCGTGATGAATACAACAATCAAGTGGAAAGTGGGGCCCAATGATGGAGAACATGGCCCATGGGTCCCAATGAAACCAATGTGCTTGGCTAATACCCAGACCTTAACCCTAACCCTAACTATAACCGTAACCCTAACCATAACCCTAACCATAACCCTAACCTATAGGAACATGCTTATAACCCCTCACACTGTCCCGTACCTGATACAAGATGGGTCCGAAATGAGGCTGAATCCCAATCACCAATACTACGCACAAGTTCAGGCTCAAATGTATATGACAGGTAGGACCAAGTGCCATTTTGTGGTGCACACATTTAAGGACACAAAAGTCTGTAACGTCCCAGTAGATAATGTGTTTATTCAAGACATGCTACGTACTCTAGATGACTACTTCGAGAATGTGTTTAAAAAGGTTTATCTCGCGAGACATTTTTACAAAGATTTGTAATCAAATTTTAGTCTCATGCTTGAGGTGCTTTAGGTGAAATGCATGGTGACGTGGCGACACGGTTACGTAGCGACGCGGCTACGTGGCGATGCGGTTACGTAGCGACGCGCTTACGCGGCTACGTGGTTACGTAGCGACGTGGCGACCCGGTTACGTAGCGACGCGGTTACGCGGCGACGCGGTGACTCGGTTACGCGGTTACGTAGCAACGCGGTTACGTAGCGACGCGCTTATGCGGCGACGCGGTTACGCGGCGACGCGGTTACGTAGCGACGCGGCGACTCGGTTACGCGGTTACGTAGCGACGCGGCGACTCGGTTACGCGGTTACGTAGCGACGCGGATACGCAGCGACGTGGTTACGCCGCGACGCGGTTACGTAGCGACGCGGTTACGCAGCGACATAGCGACGCGGTTAAGCGGCGACGTGGCTGCGTGGCGACGCGAATACACGACTATGGGGTACTATGTTTCGGCTACGTGGCAATGTGGCTACGTAGCAATGCGGCTACGTGGCGATGCCGTTACGTGGCGACGCGGCTACATAGCGACGCGAATACACGACTATGCGGTACTATGTTTCGCAATAACTTAAGCATTGGCTGATACAATGCATGTCCTAAAATTGCACAACATAAAACATGCAAAACATATCTCGCTGCCTAATTTTGTTTCCGTAACATTTAGGGGGCTTGTGAGAATTTTATACGTTTTAGCCAACCCAATAATGCGCTCAATGTGGACCCTCTTACTAGCAATTTTTCTATCTTTTAGAAGTACCTGCTTTTGAAACTGGTTTCGCTTCTTTAGGAATGTTGGCATATTTACACCAATATCGTAAGGAGCAAATAAATCGTGTACATTAAACCCTTTATCTACCATTATTTCATCGTTTGGGTCACACATATTCATGAGGGCACTTCTCTCTACCAAGGCCCTGTCACTTGCAGCACCTCCATGTGCATCTGGGATGTATGTGACCAGCCCCCCGGGGGAGGCTCCAACAATAACCTTGAGTGTATTGCAATTTTTGTATGTGGAATAGCTAAGCTGTTGGGCTGATGGGTCCTTTGGTTTTTGAATAGGAAATTCCATTCCATCAAAAATAATGCGTGCCTTGGGGTAGTTTTTTAAATTCGTTCGGTATGTAAAATCTGGTCAGTTCTTGATCTAGCCAGGTATCCACTTCTTGCCACTGGTAGTACAAGAAATTTATCCAAGTGACAAAGATGTTTGCCACAGAGTATTCAGAAATGATAAATAGCAGTGATAGCTCCTTATTTGGAGTATGTCGACGTAGTTTTATAAGCGTGAGGAAGAACTGATTTTGTATATTCAGCTGCTGTGGCGTTCTCCACCTGTATTCCAGCTCATAGGCTGCAGGCCCAAGACTAGATAAAACATATGAAAACTTATTAAAGTTTTCAAGGCCAGTGTAGAAATGTATAGCATCATCTCTGTCCTGGAAACGTTCAATGCAGATTGGGGGCCACTCCGGAGTCTGGGTCTGACAAGCTGCAAAGGAACGCTCAGTTGTGTGTTCCTGAGTTGGTGAAGCCTCTTCTGCTTGGTCATCATCCACAACCTCTTCAGCTGGTGTAATCTCCAGTGACATTTCCGGCTCTTCTTCATGGTATTCCCTTCGTCGCTTCACACGGGCATCCCTCTGTGCAGCTGCCGGAGATGGCTGTGCAGTCCAATCAAATACCGATGGGATAGCATCCCGTTTTAGGTATTTATGAAGCGGAGTTGTACCTTATAGGGAAGAGCAATACACTAGTACAGGGTATGGGTAGACAATTTCAGATATGATTCGTACTGTGAATAAACTCAAACCATAAACGATACGTATCGTGATACAGAGACAATACTGCACATATTACATGGGCAACGTTCGAGACAAGGTTCTTGACGTGTAGTTAAAATATTTATCCAGTGTTTTAGTTAACTGTGTATTTTTAACTTCATGTAGCTGATGTAACATTTATTGTATGTTGCATTATTGTGAGAGAAGAACATTGTATTGTAAATAAGGACAAAGAATAAGCCAATAATTAATACAACGTGCATACTACAAGCCAAAATTCTAAAGGCATGATTACTATTTAGTGAGGTAGAGTACATAACGTGTAAAGTAATACTATTACATAATTGTGTATGATAATATCAGTTTATTGAACTCGTGAACTGCATGCCATATAAAAAATGATGACCTATGTGTAATTGTATGTTTATTAAATATATACTACAATGTGTTTGTAATTTCAATTCCAAGTACAGACTAATAGTTTATCTATTCCTAGTCACTATTTATTAAAAGAAATATTACAACATTAAAGACAACAATCAACACACTTAAGACACTTATCATCATCACTTATCAATCATTTAAGACACTTATCAAGATCTAACTCAACATAATCAGCAGCACACTTCGC